TCAGTTTATTTCTCCCCATTCAAGAGAATGACCGAAGACTATAGTTTTTCCACTTCTTGTCCCTACTTCATTTCTGAGGAAGGACTCACTGGCCCAGCTTGGTTAGATGCCCATCCGATTCAAGGAATGAATTACTCTTTACAGACTGAAGCTGTCAGGAGCTCCTGGGGCCGGGATGGGCGTGACGGTGTGAGAAGAAAACCAGAAGGGGTTTCCTTCCAAATGACCTGATATCTGATGTGATTTCTTCTAGACTGTCCCTTCTGATCTTTTGCATACTGATTATGCATTTGGGGACCATCTTTATAATCAGTGTTTGTCCAAGGGAAGGAGAAGCCAGAGGAATGAGGAAATGAGGAGGAGGTAAGCAAGCCGGGGTGTAGAGTCATGAATAAACGTGACCCTCCTCTTGATGCCTGGTCACTTAGGTACCAAGGCAGTTGGTCAGTACACAGGCTGAGGAGGATAGAACCTCCTCAGAGTGACAAAGGCATCATGGGAAGCAACTGAAGGAACACTTTAGTCTTAAGTGGAAGTAGGTGTGGGCTGGAAAGAAGGAAGATAACCACACTGCAGGACCCGTATCTGTGGGGCTCCTGGACACCACGGCACAAGCATTGGGGAATAGCCTTACTCTTTGAAACTTTTTGTTCACCTGTAGGGATTGGGGTCAAGGCTCTTGTCTAATGATGGGGTTTCTGTAACGCCTTCCCCCAGTTCGGCAGGTGGTTGGGCCCAGGGACCTCAGCTTTCTGTCTTTGTTTTTCCTTGGATAGTTACTGGTAAAAGCATCACTAGAAGCCCTCAGCCAAACCAAGTCCCTTCTGTGATCTCCATACCCTTGGTAAGTTCCCTCCTTGATTCCTCAGTACTGAGTTGTGAGTGCCTTCGGAACTCAGTCGTTAGTTCTTTCCACTCACAGAGAGGACACTGTGTGGTCGTCTGTCTTTACCTGTGACACAGGCAGGTCCTATCATCTGGAAAGTTCTCTAGGTCACCATAAAGAACTGAAAAGAACACCATGAACACCTTTGTTTGGCCAAGGCGATGCTGTTAGCTTTTGGCTTTTTATGATTGGACACCATGGAAACACCTTGGACAAAGAAGAGACTGTAGCCATAGTTACAAAATGGATTCCAGTCACCCTTCTTGGGTTTGGAAACATAGAAAAACAATACTTCAAAGAAATAATGATTAATATGAAGGAAACAAACAAAAGCCTCAGACTAGAAAGCCAATACTGTCACCAAATCCAAGTAGCATCCGAATGATGGGAGGCCTGTTAGTGACACATGAGGGGCCAGGGCCAGCAGGATCTGAAATGTGACCACAGGCTACAGGTCTCAGGCTGCCCCTGTGCTGGCTGGGTCCCATGAAGACACAGAACAAGCTATCTAAAACAGTAAAGGAGCGGCTCTCACAGCGTACCTGCCTTTTTGCCCTAGAAGCTTTGGGAACAGTGGAGGGGAGGGAAATGACCAAAGCAACACCCTTCAGGGCTTGTCTAGGCTCCTTCTAGGTTACAAGTTTTGTTTGTTTGTTTGTTTTTTGGGTTTTTTTGTTGTTGTTGTTTTTTTAAGATAGGGTTTCACTGTTTTAGAGCTTGTCCTGGAACTAGCTCTTGTAGACCAGGCTGGCCTCGAACTCACAGAGATCTGCCTGCCTCTGCCTCCCGAGTGCTGGGATTAAAGGCATGTGCCACCACCGGCCAGCTGTTTGTATTTTTTTTTCTTCAGGAATTTATCATCACTTCTTTAAGATAGGACCCTGGGCAACATTGTTTTCCCAAGCCAGTTTTTCCCTCTACATTTTCCTCCTTGTTCCTATATGCTTCTGAGTTTTCTATCCATCTATCCACCATGTCCCACCCACCTCCCCACCCATGCATCCTCCATTTTGCAAACTAGGAACATGCTAGTGCTGAGGTTACAAAGACAAACTAAATAGGTAGCACCTGTCTTCATGGATCTTATGTTGTAACCCAGGAAAACAGCAGGGCAGCCATGGCGCACCCAGAAGCCCAAGTAGAAGGATCTCGAGTTCAAGGCCAGTTTGGACTAAATGAGTTCTAGAGCAGCCTAGACTGCAGAGTGAGGTTCTGTCTCAAAAATAAAGTGCTGTGGTGAGGTGGAGTTACACAAGCAACCACACTTGAACACAGACGCAAGCTTGTCCAGCAGAATCAGTGAAGGTGATAGGATGCTGTATAAGAGGAAAGAAGAGAACCCAGTGCCGTTCTCTCAGCAAGAAGCCAGCAGCCTGCTCTAGCCTTGCCCTGTTGCTCATACTTGGACACACTTAGCAGGCTGGACTAAAGCCCCTTCTAGTTTTGTTCTTCTTGGGCCCGGCAGTTCAGATGTATTCATACCATCAAAACTCCGCGAGAGAAGGGCAAACCCTGGGTACCCAGCTTTGCCTACAGTCTTGCAGAGATGACATCAAAATCCAGCCCTGAAAGCAAACTTTCGTGTTTGCAGGGCTGCCAAAGTGGCTCAGCGGGTAAAGGCGCTTGTCACCAATCCTGATGAAGCCCCAGGACTCACGTGGCAGGAAGAGAAGCAACTACTGCAAGCTGTCCTCTGACTTCCACATGTGTTCTGGGAACACATAGCCCTTGTGTATCCTCCACTCTCCCCTACGTGAAGGGGCGGGGGAAGAGGGGAAGAGAGAGATACAGAGACAGAGAGGCAGAGAGAAACACACACAGACACACACACGCGGGGCAAGGGGGAGAGAGAGAGAGAGAGAGAGAGAGAGAGAGAGAGAGAGAGAGAGAGAGAGA